TTTCTATTTATATAGAATATTTGTCCTTTTTTTTTTTTTTTTTTTTTTTTACAGATATTTTTAGTGTAGGGACACCGGGTATGGTACTAACATGGGGAGAGTTGTAACGACACCGATTCCACCAATCAGGGACAAGCTAGGAGTCCTATGATAGCATTTCTTGTGACTGTAGTGAAATATCTTGGAGCAGCAGTGCTTTTGAGAATCTTCGTATTTTCGTTGAAATCAGTAAGGACAGATGAAAAAAGTAAATAAAACAAACAATTCAGAGAACAATGTGAGGTAATATCTAAAATGTGAAGAAAAAAGAACTGCCATAATGTGGTTACTGAGGACCTATAACTAAAGAAGTGCAACATAGACCTCTAGTGGCCATAAAACACAGGCATGCATTATGACCGAATCACAGGTGCAATATAATAATCAAACTTTCTTATTAAGTGGATGATAAATAACAAATTGACTGCATTCATACTACTACATTCATACTGTACAACTCAAAGCACTTTACAATGCACACATGTCAACTGCAAATGTATGTGGAGCATTCGGTCACATAATCACAAAGGTTCTGCCTTCATTTAGAATAAATCTATAGATTGTGTAACCACTACAAATGAACAGTGACAATCTTACCAATGTAGGTGCCAAACCTGAGCTACTAATTGCAAAAAGTTATATTACACCCTAATGGTGTCAGATTCATCTTTTTGCTGTTTTTCTATATAGAAGAGTTGTTTTTTGCTTCTTCTGTATGAACCTTTCCTGTTTGCACGTACTTGGTTATCCAAAAGCTAAACTCACCATAAAGTTAAAAATCCTGAATCACATTAAGCTGAGAAACTGCAGCTTGAGAAACTCCATGCTTTTGGATACAAGCCAGTTCCGCTTCTTGGAAAGGAGACCAAAAAGAAAGAAAACAAGTGTGAAATATTAACCCCCTCACTGCACACTCTCCACCTATGCCCAGGACTACCTTTAGAAGATAGGTTAATTTTATGAATACAACTTGTGTTGAGAATGCAAAAGATTTGTAGTAATGTTTAAATCTTAAAGGGATGGCTCACACCTAACACTGAAATTCAGTCATCAACCCCTAAACTCCTTGACAGTAGAAACTTGGGAGAGGTTTTCAATTCATAACCAACACAGAGTTTGTTAGCACAATACTAGGTTTTTTCAAACAATTGAAGTATTTCTATATTTATCGAGCCTTAGGCACAGCCAAACAGCACTCCCTCAAACCGTTTTTTAAGATTTGGCAAACGACTACTTGTAAGACAACTGACTCCAAAACCCTTTCTACCTGTTGCACAAAACAATTGCGCAGCAATTGGGAATCAGGAAGCATTTATTTTTTATAGCAAGCTACTGTGATTATGTGATGCCAACTCACTGCGTTCTATTAAAATGGCAAGCTCTAAAGTGTATTATGCCTAGGAGCTGAGTCCTTGATAACTGAAATTTAGTTTTAGGGTGAACCATCCCTTAAACAATGTATGTCAAATTCCAGCTTACCACATTTGCAGTTTGGCACCCACAAACCCACAAAATTGGACTATATGAATCAAACAGATTAACACTTAAAAGGGGTGCAGTTCAAGCTCATGGTTAACCTCTATGTTTTAAGTAACACTTGATTAACTTGCACAGGTTGGAACCAGGATTCCAGTGGCGATGATGATCAGCTGATTACGATGCACCTCACACCCTGTGACCCATTGGAGAACACAAGCGACCGGGAGGAGGTGAGGACCACACAGTTGGAGGAGACAAGGAACATGCTGGTGGAGCAGGCGAGCACTACTGAAGGACAAGGTAATTAACACATTTAAAGAGTTACAGTTTATATTTGTAAAGGCTTGAAGTGTTTGAACCATGGGTTACCTTAACATTACTCGACTTCCGGTGTTATTTTGTCCCGTAGAGCTTTATTCAGGAAAGGGCTGCATGATATATCTTTTCAGCATCAACACTGCAATGTGCGCATGTGAAATGTCATGAAATGCAATGTCAAATTGCAGGACACATGATGTCAAGTAGGGGAAATTAACTCAAACACGTCATGCTATAACATTTTTTGCTGCTTGATACTGAAGTAAAACTTACAAGGTTCTCATTGTTCATGGAAAATCTACAAGTCCTTCTGATATTACATAATTAGATGATATATCTATCTGTACTAGGGTTGTTGGAATGAATTTTGTGAGTCTATCATAAATCGAAAAGTAAAAAATACTACTAATGCTGAAATTACTATTCCTATGTTTTTTTTTTCCGTACACTTATATGTCAGGGGTATTGTTGTTTCGCTGTTAAAGCTAGGGTTCGCAACGTTGGTTCAAGGACTCTCCTATAAGGCCTTGAACCAAAGCAACTCCCCAAAACACAAAAACGGCCTCTGTTTGACTACTGATGGAGCCAAGCGCAGCGCTGTCATCACTAACCGTATCAAACTCCTACTTCATGTCTCATTCACATGTACACTGAACATTATCATCAACAAATTCCGCCTGATACAAAATAATCCAGATAATTACCTGTCCAACAGAAATACAGCAACTATGGTGTCACTTCAGGCTCTTCAGCTCTCTAACGTTAGTTCACTGCTGGTTCAGCGGCATAAGTCAGTGGTGTGTCGGATTTGTATGGACTCACTTGTATTCTACTGGTGTTGTGCCCAATTCTGACCCCCGCCAGATTATTACCCCCTAGTATTGGTAGGTTTAGGGTTAGGTGTGGGGGAGGGGTTATGATTAGGGGCGGGGTTAGGATTAGGCAAACAGGCAGCGATTTCAACGAGGGGGGTAATAATTTGCCAGGGGGTCGAAAATGGGCACAACACCGGCACACAGTGTTTTCTAATGGTCGCTGCCAATGCTATGGAACAGAGCATTGCTTCTATATTAGTTTTCCTATATTTTGTTAATGGCGATTTTATGATTTATTTGTATATGACAGACACTCCCCATCCCCCCCGCTCCATTTTTATCACAGAAAAAGGCAGAAAATATATTTTATAGTTACTTTCTATACTAAAATAAATGCTATGTCAGTAGCACTGCATTATTAATATACTTTATTTATTACATGGAAATGATGACTTGAGATACCATATATTGTCGCAGTCGTGCATGTATTGTCTTTCAGTCTTTCATTGTCTCATCAGCCACAACATTTCTGCTTTTATCCAGCATAGCTTCAGCGATCAATACTTATGGTTCTGCAGTTCTGCAGTTAGACCTTACTCATTCTCGTGCGCTCTGCGCCTCCGCCTAAAGGATCAGAGTAATCAATGCGAGAGACTCGAGAACGGAGGAGCAGAGAGGCAAAACTACTGACCTGTTCAGGACTTCAAGTGCAGGTCAGTTTCATCTGTAAATAGGCTACTATAGTTTTGTATTTGTTTACTTAGTTAAGCAGGGCCAGGTTTGTTTTATTGAACATAACATTCCTGCAGGTATCGCTTTTATAATGTGGGAAATTCCCGGAAACATTTCTGCCCTATAGCATGTACAGTAGATTGAATCCAAACAGATTATAAGAGCAGTTCAGTCATTTTAAAACTATCTGTGAGGCGTAATTTCACAAACAGTGTGAGTGATTCAGCAATACAGCGTCCTCTCTCTCTCTCCCTCTCTCTCTCTCTCTCTCTCTCAAAATGCACAAATGGCCTCACATCCATAGTAAAACTATGGTTACTATAATTTTACTATAATAAAACCATAGTTAATTTCATAAGGGAAAAATGTGACTCATGATAATGCAATAACATGTTCAATATTAGGATTTTTCTATAAATATATTGTCATGGTGTAGTTATTGTTGTACTAATTTTGACATTTAGGCAATTCATAAAATATAGTTATTTTGCACGGCCCCAGCCTAAGGATTTTAACCTTTTTTATGTGATGGCCATACAAAAAATAGTGTTGTCCATGGTTTCAGAATTTGTTGTGGGTGTATGGGACGGCCTGGATGAGTGAAATGTTGTCCCAGTCCGGTCTTGTTCTATGGTGTTTTTTCAGCCTGGATACATTCATTAGCTAACAAAATTTAAA